TATCTATCTATCTATCTATCTATCTATCTATCTATCTATCTATCTATCTATCTATCTAATTTGCCAGGTGCAGTTAGTTTAATTCTGAAGACTCAAAGAGGGTATTAATACCAGTGTCCAGAGAGAGAGAAAAGGACGCTTTGAAGGTTTGGAATTGCATTGAGGAGAAGGGTGGAGAAAGAAGAAGGCTGCAGGTTCTGCTTGACTGTTGGATATCTTGATAACTGAGATTGGTATTGTCCCAAAGAACCCAACTACCCTAACTAGCTTGAACTAAGTCTAAAGAGGTCCATCTCCCCTGTTCCTTCTAACCTTCTTTCTCTCCCACCTTGGGATGGTAGAGGCATTAAGAAACCCCAAATAAGGAGAGAGGCATAGGGTAGGGAAGAGGGAGGAAGGGAGGGAGAGAAGGAAGGAGAGGAGAGGGAGGAAGGAAGGAAGGGTGAGACCAGGAGATGAAGGAGGGAGCTACAACTGGGATACAAAATGAATAAATTGTAAATAATAATAAGAGTAAAAAAGAAAAAAAATAGGCTCAGCCACATTACATATATTAGGATTATTTTCCCTCACTTTTCTGCCGGGTAATTCTGTTTTGATGAAAAAGTTCTAAATTTTAATAGACAAACATATCCATAAATTCACAAATTATACGTTATTAAGTTATTTTTTTATTTTCTTTTGACATCTTACAAAATGTTTCCCTATCACTATCATTTAAAGAATCTAAAAGTGGAAGGGGTACTGGGGGTTGTGCCTGCCTTTAATCCCAGCCCTTGGGAGGCAGAGGCAGGTGTATCTCTGTCAGTTCAAGGCCAGCCTGGTCTATAAAGCTACTTCAGGATAGCCAGGGAGGGTTGATACACAGAAAAACCCTATCTCGAAAAACTAAAAACCAAACCAAACCAAAACAAAACAAAACCCTATATTTCCTCATTCCATATTATCCCATTCTCTTCTTGAATTTATATCAGCTTAATTATATAGACTACATGTCATATTATATGTTTTGATATATGAACCTATATATTTGTCCTAGAAGAAAAATGAAAGTTATGTGGCTTCTTTGAATTTTACAAGGTTTCTTTGTCATTACATCTTTGTCTATGTTGGGGTTTGTTTCTGCACACTCCACTATTTTTCACTGATCTTGTGTTCTAATTTTGCATATATAAATATATATTCGCATATATGTATGCATATATATATGCCCTAATCATTTGGTAGTTTCAAGTATCTAATTATTGTTTCCATTTATTATTTTGGTTGTTATTTTTTAATAAAAAATTTAGGAATTATTTGTGCTATAAATTAGGAATGAAGTAAATGTAGAAATCATGTCTTAATT